TTTTTTTTTTTAAAGACAGTCTTAACTTTGTCATCCTAGGTAGAGTGCTGTGGCATCATAGCTCCAGCAACCTCAGACTCTTGGACTCAAGCGATTCTCTTGCTTCAGCCTCCTGAGTTGTTGTGACTGCAGGTGCCTGCCACGGCGCCCGGTTATTTATTTATTTATTTATTTGCAGTTTTTGGCCAGGGCTGGGTTTGAACACGCCACCTCCAGCATATGGGGCCAGCACCCTACTCCTTTGAGCCACAGGCACCACCCCCAGTTATTTTTTTACAGAGACGGGGTCTTGCTCTAGCTTAGACTGGTCTCAAACTCCTGAGCCCAGGCAATCCGCCTGCTTCGGCCTCCCAGAGTGCTGGGATTACAGGCATCAGCCAATGTGCCCACTGCAAACCACATTCTTATTCCTGTTACCTAGGGGTTGAAATTAGCAGTAGCTTCTGCATCTGGGGCATGTTTGCAGACAGGCTTGCAGGGCTCTGGCCACAAAAGTCTCTCAGGAACAAGGCTTTGCTTTATGTCCTTCAGGGAGCAGTGTAGCCCAGACTTGCCTCTGGAAGACTTCATTGGCACAGGGCTTGAGGACCACCCATGCCCCCTGCCTTTCCTCCCTCCACTCCCCCATCCTCATTTCTTTATTCACTGGTTTCTTAGCTGTGACCATTCTGCTTTCTGCTTACCTCCCAAACAGCCAGGTGCTTCTGTACACACTGGCTGCTTCTATACATACTGTAACGAAGATAATTTAATTTCTGCCTAGGCAGGAGACATGGTTTAACGCAAGGGTGTCCAACCTGTGGTCCACAGGCCATATGCTGATTTTTGTGAGGACTTTTTTTGCTTATCTGTGGTGTTGGACCTTTAAAAAGTACACATCAAACATTACTGTTTATGTATCTACTGTGTGGCCTGCAGCAGAGGGGGGGAAAAAAGGCTGGACACTCCTGCAGGAGCTTCAGGTAAAAGTGACAGTGGTTGTGAACTTGACCCCTTATTTTATCCCATAGCTCTTCCTTAAGAACCCACTGAATGCCCAGGTACTGGGGACACATTAGTGGCTGAATATGGGGAGCCCTGCCCTCCCAGAGGACATAGTGTCTGAGGGAGACAGACAATAACATGATGTAACTGCAGGCTGTGGTCAGAGTGGTGATGGAAACAGAGTGCCTGATGCAGAAGACGAGGAGGGGACTTGCTTTGGGGGATAGAAAAGACCTTGCTACAGAGGGGACTTTAAGCTAGGATGTGCAGAATGGAGAAGATGAGTCGTCCTGGAGGGGCACAGGTTTCTGCAGAATAAGGGAAGAAAGTTCTGGGCATGGGAAGAGGGCTGCTATGCCTTGGCCTGGCCAGGGGGAGTCTGCTGGGAGCTGAAGTCGGAGGGGGCCATGGCAGGGATAGCACAGGCTTGTAGGCTGTGTGAAGAGTTTTACTCTTTAAAGTGTTTCTTTTGCTTTCTGGGTCAGGGGGTAGGAGCGGTGCCCAGGAGGTGTCCCAGGACTGGGAGATAAGAGAAACCTCACTGGACACCTAGCCTGGTCAGGAGACTAAGGTCGGGGTGGTGGTGGAGGGGGCTCCTTTCTGTGCTGCACCAGAGGCTGAGGAGAGCCAGACTGAGTTCTCCATACCTAGAAGCTGCCAGAGCAGTTTGGTTGGCTAGCTGTGGGTGGGGTGCAGGCTGGGCAAGTCTGAAGGGCAAGATGCAAACAGCACTTATCACTTTAAGGACAAAGGGAAGTAACATGGAGTCTTGGACTGAAAGGGGGTGTGTAGGATCAGGTGGGTGGGGGGCAGAACAGACTCTGTGTGTCCTGGAGAGGTATTGATATGCTAATGTCCTGGGTGCCTGGTACAACCTCTCAGCCCTGCCAGGCAGGATTCTTGTTTTACTGCAAAGAAACCTAGGCTGGCTGCATGTTGAGGGTGGCAGGAGCCTGGCAGGCCAGGTTTTCTGAATTCAGAACCTGCCAGGATTTGCTGGTCCATTTGGATTTCTCTCCCAGCATAAAGCTCATGAAAGGAAGAAAGGGCAGGGGACTCTTTGTGTCTGGTGAATCCTGGACTGTAAAGTCTTCTAGGTCTAGGATAGAGGACAGGGGACAGGTGGAATGGGAAAGGGTTCCCCAGAGACAGTCAGGCTGCACTGGGGAAGCCATGAGTCAAGGGGGGGCATCCCAGGCTTCACCAGAGCAGGAACTGTGGCCATGGGGAGCTAGAAGCCCTGTTCAGAGTCTTCCCTGGAGGGGCTGGGGCACCCTCACTGACAAGGTGCTTCCTGTGGTGTCTTCTAGGCCCAGAGGCCATTGGGCCAAAGAAGGCCCCGCCGGTCCTTCTTTGAGTCCTTCATTCGGACCCTCATCATCACGTGTGCTGCCCTGGCTGTGGTCCTCTCCTCTGTCTCCATCTGCGATGGGCACTGGCTCCTGGCTGGGGACCGCCTCTTCGGGCTGTGGCACTACTGCACCACCGACAACCAGAGTGAGCTGCACTGCCTCAGAGACCTGGGGCAGGCCCATGTGCCCGGGCTGGCTGTGGGCATGGGCCTGGCCCGTAGCGTGGGTGCCTTGGCCGTGGTGGCTGCCATTTTTGGCCTGGAGCTCCTTATAGTGTCCCAGGTGTGTGAGGATATCCACTCAAGGCGCAAGTGGGCCATGGGCTCCATCCTCCTCCTGGTCTCTTTCGTCCTCTCCTGCGGGGGTCTGCTGAGTTTTGTGATCCTCCTCAGGAACCAGATCACGCTCATCGGCTTCACCCTGATGTTCTGGTGCGAGTTCACTGCCTCCTTTCTCTTCTTCCTCAACGCCATCAGTGGCCTTCACATCAACAGCATCACCCACCCCTGGGAGCAACCAAGGAAATTTTAGGGCCCCCCAGAGACATCAGGTTCTCTAAGAAAGTGTGGTCAGGATGGGACTTTTCCAACATGTGGCCTCTGGTGGGGTTGGGTGGAACAAGGACCTTGAAACCACTGTCTCTTAGCCGGTAACCTTTGGGTGTTAATGAGAAATGGCCCAGGGGCCCCTGCAGCTGGTCTGCAGGGCTGGAGGCCAAGAAGGTACCTTACTGCCACCAGCTGCCCAGGCTTAGCCAAGTTATTAGTATGTTGAGTATAGAAGAAGAAAAACATTTTAAAAGTTCTTCTTGAGTTTTCTTCCTGGACTGGGTAAATTCGGAAGCAGCGGTTCACACCTGTCTTACTGATGCTGGGATATGCCTGTGGAATCCCTGGGGCTCCCAGGCTTGCTAAGAATGTGTCATTCTTGCAGCTAAGGGTCCAATCACTGCCTAGGACTTTCTTCCACCAACTGAAAGGTCCTTCATGTGTATGTTCTGGATTTAGCTTTGCCCATGTCAAGGAGACAGAGTTCAAGATGCCCTCAGAATGTCTTGCACATAGTAGTTTTCAAACCATTTGACTTGGTTTGACCCCTGCCTTTTGTGGGAACCTCACAAACCCTGGATAACCCTAATTTGTAGCAGCTGGCTGTCCTGTCGGGGACTTGCCCTGTCAGAATCCTGTGGTAAGGTGGGTTTTGTTTCTCCTTGGAGAAGGAGCTCTTCAGCAAGCCCTCCCAGGAACCCTCTTAACTTCAAAATACACAGTCCTCCCCAAGCCAGTGTATGTGCACGTGTTTTTCTTTTGTAAGGGTCAGACAGCAGCCTTAGGGGTACCATTCCTTATCCTAGAACACCTTTCAAAGAGCACAACCTGGGTTTGTTAGACTCCACAGGGGGTGAAGGGAACAGCCAGAACTTGGGTAATGATTAACAACTGTCCTGGGGATGAGTGGAGGTGAAAGGGGCCAGGGACCAGTGGAGATTTCCATCCTTACCAGCAGCTCTGCATTTGTATTAATCACCTGGCTCCCTTTCCAGCCCAGAAGTAGGTGAGGCTTCTTGCCCTCAGTCCATTTTGTTCTAGTTACCCCTTTCACTCCCCACCTGGGTAAATTCTGGCCTTTCCTGATTCATTCTAGCTTCTGTGGATTGCATGGGTTTTTGGTCTTTGCCTTGACCTTGTCACTGCAAGTCCCCTTCCTGTGCTGGGCTGATTGCCTATATAGCTATTACTTGTACATTTTGAAAATTCTTATTCCCAGGGGCACAGAGCCATGAGGCAGTATGGCATAGTATGTAAGGTGTGGATCTAAGGCTGGATGTGGTCCTGAGGTAATCCAGAAAGGTTTCTGTGGACTGCTTGGATCTGTAGCAGAGCTCGTTAACCCACAGGCTACACCTTAGCCTGGAAAATGGGAATCTGGAAGAACCTA